TAAGAGCCACAAGAAATATTTTAAGAAGAAAAAAACTTGAAAAAATGAATATAACCAACATAAGAAATCTTAGATAATGAAGAAAGAACGTCACAAACAGTTGTATTTGATGAAAAAAGATATGGAGATATAAATGAAAAACAAATATCTTTAAATGATAAAAATGTTTTTGTAAGACCAATAATTCCTTGGTTTAACAAAACTATATACATTGCCAAATATGATAAAGTACATATTAACATCGAAAATGTTAAAGGCAGTACTACCATACCTCTAATAACCAGAGAATGGGTTAATAGAGAATTAGCAAATATAAAAAGAACCACTAAAGAAAGATTAAAGAATATTGTGATCTGAGGAATTCAAATAATGGTTAAAGGATACTTTAGAAAATGAATGAATATTCCTATACAAATGTACTTAATGGATAACAGAATATTTCATGATCTTATGGATGCTCTATTAGAAGTCGTCTCTGGAAATCTTGTTTATAGGAAAATTATATTTACTAGAAGACATGTATTTGCTATGCCTTTGTTAGATGAAAACTTAAGCCTAGAACTAAATATGTATCATAAAATTGATAGATTAATTATGTCACCAAGAAGTAAGGCTGTAACCTTACATTGTAAAGCGTTATATGCCTTTACTACTACGCACCAAAAAGAAATCAATAAAATCTCAGGAGCGTCATCAAATTCATGAAGACTTTAGAAACCTAATACAATTCACTCCTCCAAGAATGTTAAGTAATCATAATATTTCTTTACCACAAGATATATTGCTTGATTTTCATCAACAATCTAGAAGAATAGACAATAATGTATGAAATCAAGGAATAGTTACCTTGAATACCTCTGGACAACTTATAGTCAGAACCTAGTAAAAGAATGGAAAGAAGTAGCAGCACTAGAGAACAATCAAGCTCTAATAAACCATTTACAAGTAGAAACAACCCAACAATACCTAGAAATAGCATTAATATTGACATTAGAAAATGTGAGAAAGAAAATTTCCTTATATCAATGATCAAAATAATTTTGAATAAATAATAGCCCTTGTTAATACAGGAGTCAATACCAATCATATTAGAGCAGACTTAGTTGACCATTTATTAGAAGAAGATTTACCACAAGGAATAACTCTCACAGATTATCGTGGAATTAAATATGAAATTAGAATATTTGTTAATTTTGAACTAAGTTTTACAGATATAGAAGGAGAACAATTTAAATTAAATCTTAAAATCCATAAAAATTATAGAAAATGAAAAGATACTAGTCCAATATTACTTGAAATGAACTTTCTTGAAAAAAGTCTCACCATTTTATATTCAAAAGAATATAATGCAAATAACTGTAGAAAGAAAACAAAAAATGCTTCCTAGAGTTAATAAAAATAATGAACCAATTTATATGATATAAGGAATCATATCAATCAAAACTAGATTAATCAGTCTTTACCTTTTGTTTCAGTACTGTAAGATCTTTCTTATTTATGTCAAGTACTTGCATTAATATTTGCACTCCTACTATTTATGAAGTTTTAGTTACTTTTATTCGAAGATTAAAAATTGACTGTGAAAGAAAAAAAGAAGAAATTAAATCATTTTATATTGTGCTTGATTATTTTCTAAAAAATAGTAGAAATATACATGCACCTTTATTTTGGACAGAAAATATAATCAGAACTTATAGAGATATTAATAAATTAGAAAATAAAATTAAAACATTAAACGATTGTTTTGATAAAATATATATATATATATATAGATAAATATGAGCATAATTGGCTTTTTTATTTATTATGAGAAATAAACCAAAGTTGTCCCATATCTGGAATTAAGAACTTTGATTTAACTAAAGAGTAGAGAAATGATATTTATGTCTTTTTATTAGAAAAGGTCAACTAGGATGGTAGTGTAGCATGATTGTTAAAATAATCAATGATAGTGTGGTCATGTCTTTAACAACTACAGAAAGTCGCATATTTGATTTCGTGTTATTGGACAACCTATAAATGTTTAAAATCAAATTTTTAGTAAATTTTGATAGAAGTTGATAAAATATATAGTTAAAAATTTGTGGAACCATAAAATATGTGGTTAAAATTAATTGTTAACTTTGACTTTGATTAAAATCATGTTTTTTTCCCATTTTTATGGTAAGAAAGAATTTTGAAATAGTAGATTAATGGATAATGTGCAGTTAAAAAAAAAATTCTGAATTTACATACAATATTATTTTATTAAAAAATGTGTAATTAAAAAGAAGAGAAAAAAATATATTTTAAGAAAAATGATTATCAAATAAGAGGAAATTACATAATTCCAAGGGTTTGAAAATTGGAATTCAAAAATCAGGTAATATATAAAACCCCTAACCCTAATTTTTCCCCTCCCCTCCCTCTCTCTCTCTCTCTCGCCTCCTCTTCCCCCCTCCCTTCTCCCAATCTGTGGCGCGAGGGCATCATGCTGGTGAGAGATCTACAACATCTTCGAGCGACGGCAATTTATGTCAAAATTAGGATTTAAATCTGGGTGGTGCGATCTGTGTAGTGCAATTTGCAATCCCTTTGTATTCGTGTGTTGGGTTTTGATGAAGGTGGTGACGTCGGTGCGATAGTGGTGGCAGCGTGGTATGATCCGCCTGTCTGTGTGCGATCTGTACATCTGTGTGTGGGTTATATGTTAGATTGTTGATGCAAGTAGTGCTGGTGGTGCAGTGGTGGCGTTGTTGGACTGTTGTTACAAGCGAAGGCGGTGTGATGGTGGTGGTAGCGACGCTGAATCTATGGTTTGAGCTTGTCTGTGGTGGTGGCGGTGAGGAGGCCCGTGCTTTGGTGGTGAACGGTGGTGATATGGCGTTGGTGGTTGTTTTCTATGAAAAGGAGGTGAATGGATTGGTGGGGCTTTGTGCTTTGGCGGTGAACGGTGATAATAAAGTGTTGGAGGCGACTGTCTGTGAGGATGAGGGGTTGCATAGCTAGGTGGTGATTAATCGCAGCCGACTATCTGTGATTAAGAAGTTGTTGGAGACCTGTATTGAAGGGGCGATGGTGGACGATACAGTAGTGACGATGGTGGTTAGACGTTGGGACAATGACTAGGCTCTCGATTTTCATTTTGGGTTGGTTTGGGTTGGGTTGGGGTGGGGTGGGGTGGGACGGGGGGTAGTCTGTGACCAAATGTTGGTAATCTTTGACCAAATGTTTGGTAATTTGTGATCAATTACTCAACTGTGACATAAAATTTTAATAATATGTAACTCAAAAATAATCTTTGACCAATTAATTTAAAAATCCGTGACCTTGAAATAATCTATGACGTTCAAATCTGTGATCTCGAAATAATTTGTGATCAATTAATTTTAAAATATGTGACATGTGACCTATAATTATGTATATGTGACCATTAATTATATACTTATGATCTTATTATATTTAATTAATAAATATTTTTAATTAATTAACTAAAAAGCTGATTTTTGCATTAGTCAAACTTAAAACCTGATTTTTGAATTGTGTATAGTTAATACCTTACTTTTGAACTCTTCCCATCAAACTATGGCTTAAATTTTAATCGATACTAAATAGGGCCAAAATAGTGTTTGTCAGCAAATTCACTTTTACTTGCAGGTTAGGCCCGCATTTATTGGTGGCAATGGGCCGATGCTCGACTCGGCCCATCTATCCATGAGTTTGGCTCGTGCTCAAAGGTTGAGCTCGGCTCATTTGGGCATGAGCCGAGCTCGAGCTCGTGAGCTCACTAGCCAAGCCCACGAGCTCGGTTTTTTTTATTTTTATTTTTTTTCCGTTTTCTTCGCATTTTTTATAAGCCCCGCTCATGGGCTCCTCGGCGAGGGTGGGCTTTGGCTCTTCCCGAAACGAGCTCGTGTCGACGAGTTACTCAAGCCTTTTATCATCCCTACACGCGTTTCTACTTCCCCCACCATAGTACCGTGTACCATTGTCTATACTCAAATGTATTTGAAGTTTTCACTGTAAAATATTTTTTTTATTTTAGTTACATAATAATAAAATTTTAAAGTTTGTACAAGATATAAAAGATTTGAAAGACTTTCAAAAATCTAGTGTAATATATAGCAAAATTTAGGACAATGTAAATCTTTATACGATATTTTAATTTGAATACGTTTTGACGGAACGGAGAAAAATATCTTACACTTCTCTTTTTGTTCAGTTCAATTCAACATACGATTGCGGTTAAAAATTGACTTTTTTTATTAAGGGAGAAATATCACGTTGCTTACATATTGAAATATAGGATTTGAACTATTCCTAATAACAAAATTGATCTTTTAAGATAGAACTATAAGTCTTAACATTTGTCCAAGGCACATTTTGTATCAATGTTTTAAACCAAATTCATGCCGTTATACACTGTGTCAATGATGACATTTTCATGCAATTAAAATATAGCGAACTTAAAGAAAATGACGCAAGCCGATGAGCGAACATATTATCAGATTTGATAATGAAGCAACGAGAATCATAACTAAAATATCAAAAGAAAATATTCATTCTCCACTAGGCTAGAATATGAACAATGCCAAGACCAAGAGAATCATATTCTGCAGTGTCAACATGACACCTATTCTTCGTGATGGAGAAACAATTAAAGAAGTTGACCGTTTGATTTATTCAGAATTCCCATTCTATTCTTCGGTCTCACGGTTTGGTTTATTTTTACCATTTCAAAATTCAATGGTCAATATTCAAATCTTTCCTCCTCTTAATATTATTTTCCAAATTATTAATGTTTTGAAAGTTGAAACGGATGCACAACAAATACATTTATATACCTACTCAAGTCTCATTCCTAACTACAAAATTCAGAAAAACCCCACCAACATTTCTGCATAATAGAGCTCTCAACTAGCCGCTTCCTAATTTTTTTCTCATAAAAGAAAGAAACCCGAAGCCAAGAGGGTTTTGAATAAACTTCTTGTGTATTGATTCATTCATTTAGTGATCACCCAATGATTTCATCATGGAGAAGGAAAAAATCTGCACGTCATGCTGCGAAAAAACACGATTTGGAGAAGGATGTAAGCATGGAGGTGAGAATCCCCGTCCATTTTCGATGTCCGATATCACTAGACTTGATGAAGGATCCGGTAACATTGTCTAGTGGAATGACATATGATCGAGATAGCATCGAGGCATGGTTTGAAGCCGGCAACTCCACTTGTCCCGTAACTAATCAAGTCTTGAGAAATCTTGAGCCTATACCTAATCAATCCATTAGGAGAATGATTCAAGATTGGTGTGTGGAGAAGAGGTCTTATGGTATAGAGAGGATTCCAACTCCAAGAATTCCCGTAACATCGGTCGAGGTTTTGGAGATTCTCTCTAAAGTTGAGGCCGGTGGTGAACAAGAATGCCGAGAATTGGTCTTGAAGATAAGGTCAATAGCTAAAGAAAGCGAGCGAAACAAACGATGCATTGTGGCGAATGGCACCGGCAGGGCCTTAGCGTCCAGGTTTGAGGCCTTTTCTAGAGATTCTATCGATAAACATGTCTTAATCTTGGAGGAAATCATGTCTACTTTGACGGTAATATCACCCCTTGATGAGGAAACAAAGCTTATTCTTGGATCAAAATCATCGTTACATTGCATAATTTGGTGTTTGAGGCGTGGAAGCTTGTCGAGCCGAAGAAATGCAGTATTAACGCTAAGATCGATTATTTCATCAGATCAACAAAAAGTTGTTGATTTAATCGAGATCGAAGGGGCTCTAGAATCCTTGGTGCAGCTAGTGAAAGAGCCCATATGCCCTACTACTACAAAAGCTTCGTTATTAGCTATATACTATGTGGTTTCGTCATCAACAACAAATTACAAAGACGACATCATAAAAAGATTCGTGGACACAGGGTTGGTCGAAATTCTAGTAGACACGCTCGTGGGATGCGAAAAAAGCGTATGTGAGAAGGCATTAGGTGTTTTGGATGGAATTTGCAATTCTAGTGAAGGGAGGGAAAAGGCCTACGATAATGCTCTAACTATGCCTGTTTTAGTGAAGAAACTATTACGCGTTTCGGATTTATCGACGGAGTTTTCCCTTTCGATCATGTGGAAACTTGGGAAGAATGAGAAGAGGGAAGAAAGAGGGGTGGTTTTTGAAGCTGTAGAATTAGGAGCTATTCAGAAGCTGTTACTTCTCTTACAAGTTGGTACAAGTGAGAAAACAAAGGAGAATGCGACACATTTGTTGAAGTTAATGAAGTTGTATAGGAATAGGGTGGAGTGCATTGATTCCTTGGACTTCAAGAATCTCAAACGGCCATTTTGAATAAAAGATGACAGATCGGAGTTTATTATTCTATATATACCATTTGGGGTTTTGACATTTCATTTTTAATAGGTAATATATCAATCTTCTATTGAGAAAATATTAGCAGCAAAATTTAATCACTCCCCTAAATTAACTATACAATAAAAAATTAATCCCATCCATGTTTGAATCCATTTCTTCAAAAACTGATTTCCAGTCACATTCTTCAGAAAAATGATTAATTAACCCCGAAAATGGGGCTCAAACAAACCTGCACTTAAATTCATCACAAATTTATTAACAATTGACTAAGATATATGACAATCAATTTCATCGCGAAGTTCGGCTATTATCTTGTTTTAATAATTTTAACCCGATGAAAATCTCTAAAACGTTCTTTATTTTGGAAAAGAAACTATGACAAATGATTCACAGGGTTCACTTCACTCCAACTCGAGTTCCATATATGTCAACTCTGGCTCGACTGAACATTATTACAAGACGCAATCAAATTCTTTAATGTAGTTCTTTTTCTAAGGGACACGACTAGGCGGGAATTTTAGGCCTCCACCTAAAACTAGTGGACGGTTAAGAAACTCAAAGATATGCGAAAGGCAAATCATGTAAATTAAACTAAATAGATGCTATCTAAAACACCGAAGCCAGCAACAACTCCGCCTTCGTTTGAGGAAGACACCTTCGTCCGCAACAAGTAACCACATTCCTCATTTATTATCACCTTCGTCTTGTTCCTGTATGTATATTGAAATACAGTAAAAGACAAACACAAAATTTAGAAATAACTATATTTGTCCATCAAATGACATGGCTGGAGTTATAAGCGATGTGCAAACAACATTGCAAATGGGGGTTACCTTAAATATGCTGCATATACGCCAAGTTCTGATATGACATGATCTTTTCGAGAAATGCCTTGTTGCATTAGAATTGCAGGAGAAAGGGTAGGAAAAATTCTCTGCATAAGAATGTAAGCAGCATTTTCGTCTGAGCCTTCCTTTTCTATTCTAAGTAGGGTTTCTCTCACATCATCACCATAGATATTGTTCCCTGAAGTGAGATATAGGTAAGAACAAACAGTCAATAATAATTTTAGCAGTAATCTAGACTCGTAGTAACGATATGATGTCAGACCTCCTCCTTCTCTTTGGGGCTTCATCACATATAATCCGGGTTTCTCAATAGCATCATTAACGATGTTGGAGTCCTCCAAACTCCATAATCCAGCAAAGCATTTTCGTACTTTGGCAATATCATCTTTGTTTTCAAGAAATCTGCTCACAAAGCCAAGGAAAATTTATCCAAGCAGTTGAAGGTATAGACACAGCTAGAATTTTCAATACATTTATTAAAAGAAAAAACTATTCAGCAAGTTATTTCTATTATTTCAAGTGCACTTATTGGTGGGACAAAGGATTCATAAACTTGACTTTCAACCATATTGAAGGAACACCACCTTTTATGAGAATTTATTAAAAGTCAACATTCACCTTTACTGCAAAACATAAAACCAACATCCATATCGTCTCCCATGTTATGGTATAATTAAGCACGACAAAAGTTGAACTTAATCTGCCTGCAAGGAAGAGTCTAAGTAAGTTACCTTTCAAGGACATTGGGTTTGGCAAGCTCTTGTTGAATCTTCTTGGTGCCAGCTAAATGATACGCAATTGAAGGGCACTTTATTGCCGATGACTGCTCCATCAGTAGCCTAGCTCTCCATTCCTACAAGAAAATTATGATATACAGATAAATAATCATTGGGCCTAGCGAAAGCAGAGAGAAACTTGGATCCAAATTTCGCCACATGCATAAAATTTAATATTAAAAAAAAACAACGAATAAGCATGAGTTCGCATGAAATTCACATTGTTCAACAAAATCCTATGCAAGTCCATAGGAAGATTTCATTCTTGACTGTGGGATACGTCTGTAGAAAAATTAAATATGGCATCTGATCCCAATAAAGAACCCAATCCGTTACCTATGCTTCACAAGTCAATATTTAATTTTCTGTAAAGCTCTTCATTTATTAAATATGAAAGCACCAGAGATGAGTCTTGCTGCTGGAGCCACCTACTTAGGTATTAGGGGCTATGGTTCTCACCTCCCACACTAAGATGGCAGGAGAAGGCAAGATTTACGTCCATCAAGAGATAAAAATAGATTTATATTGAACTGTCATAAGCAAAAAATTGCTTTCTCTGCGATTGATAATTGAAAAACGAAACAAGAAAAAAGAAAATGATTGAAATAACCAAAAAAACAGGCAGTTGTTTCGGAGTGCATTTTCCCTAGAAAAAGACATCATGTAAGATTTGTGGCTTACATTAGGGTCTAGACTTGAAAGTAGTGTACTGTCTTTTCAACAGTAGCTACCTCATTAGCTCAAATCATGCAATTGAATCCTACTGGCTTATACATATGTATAAGAACATTTCTACAACAAACGGAGTTAAATGAAGAACATTTCTACAACAAATGGAGTTAAATGCTTTCCAAAAATAATAAGCACTACATTTGACTTAAATATCATCTCTGCTCAAAATCTTATAATAAGCATAACATGAAAGATATTTCATATAAAATACAAACAATTATTATACTTGAAAAATTTGTAAGAAATAAAGAAAATTCTACAGTCAGAAGTACCATCCATCGAAAGGTTAATTCTCAAACCCTAATGGACTTCTATAGGGTGTTGTCCAAAATATCCAAATGCATTTGGATACCTTACTATATAGTCAGGTTGGATACATGGAAAACTGGTCCCATGGTAAAACCTAATAGCTTAAAGGGAAGAGACAAGATGATTTCTTATTATCTATCCTTTTTTTTTTCTTTTTGTTTTTGTTTCTAGTCGCATGTTTTGTGTTTACATGGCACGGTATAAATGGAAAGAAAACAAATAGTGTAGTCTGACATTAATAAGTAAAATCCAAATTATTAATATGACCATGGTATAATTCAAATTATTAGCTTGTGCAAGTAAAAATGATAGATGCTTCTTGCAACTGAAAGATGAGTACACAGTGAGCAGCATACAAATCACTAAAATCGGGCACGTGTAATTGCTTATTCTAAAGAATAATCGCATTGGGAACCACAAAGATACTCACTGATTCTGAAGGATAATCACTTGGTGCATACCCAGCTCTAAAATATACTACTGCAACTGCTACACCATCCCTGCAATTATAAGCTTCTAAAGATTACGTGCTAATCCGGTTAATACAGGTGATCAAAGTTGTACTTCAGTTCCATTAGATACATACACAACAAGTGTTCCATCTGGCAGAAGCTCCCCAAGCGCATCAATTTCTGCCAAAGTCTTTCTAATACTTGTAACTTGATATGTATTATTAGGCTAAGAAAAAATCTCCAGAATCTTGTGACAAATACACAAGAAAGATAATAGTTCTAAATAATTCTACTCTGTTTACCTTGAAGCATTAATAACTAAGCATGAAATTTTTTTTAATAAGAAGCATTTTACATGACAAAAAGGGATATCTTTCCTTCAACGTTGTACAAAGCCAGTGTTGATCATACATATTTCGTTCTTCAGTTTGTACCACAACCATAACTACTGCCCTGCATTGGATGTTTGAGTTCATAACAAATTCAATGAGCTAAGAGTTGCAGATTCAGAATTAACACAATACATTAAATAAACCAAACCTTGGGTTATTATATTCACTCCACGCTTTAGACAATGCTTCAGCAAACTTAGTAGCAACACTGTTTTGTGGAATCCTTTCAGGATTTAGTGCGAGGTGTTGTTTATATTGATGAAGTAAGCTCCTGAAAAATGAAGCTATCCATCCTTTACAATCATAATTTTAGTTGTGAACTTCTGTTGGGAATGCTTGAGCAAAGAGCAGAAATCACACACAGTAATATAACTATATTTAACGGTGCAGTATCTCGATAATCTTCAAAAATTGCAAGAATGGGGACTTGGAAAGAAGAGAGTTCAAATTTTCAGAATGTAGATTCAAAAATGGATTTCCAACTTGGCAACAGGTATTTATGATTCAATGCCAAAAAATTCTGTCATTTGTTCATGATGTTTACGTGATTTTCTCTTTCCCTCCTCAAAAGTGGAGAGAATTCTAGTCAATTTAATGAGTGAACATAGATTTTGTTGTGAGCATGACCCAACAAGAACAAGAGCAACATAAAAAACTCAAGTAAACATGTAAAATAACAGAAAACGAAATAAATTCTGATACTAACGTTCCAATAAATATAAGGGTGGGGAATCAGCTTAGAAATCTGTATTAGACCGATGTACAAAAAGAACAAAGTATATTTATTGAGATAACCTGTGAAGCTCACTAACAAGACCGCTTAGCCCTGGAAATGAAGATGAAATTGTGTTGAGCTCTATTTGGAGAAGTAATTTAGTTTCTTCATCCAGCATATAGTCTGAACGATGTAGTCCTAAACGTATTTCCTATGTTACAGGTGTAAAAATTAGTGTTATCTTCAGCACGTAATAATCCACTTCCATGTATAGTTTGCAAGCGTTTGAAATTAATAACAAAAGTGAATAAGCTAGACCTTTCAAAATCATGAAACTGTAAAAATTAAGTGAAAAATCAAAATAGCACTTGACATTGAACATAAATGTTGCATTGGTATACACTCTGATACTATTTGAGAAAATCTGGTCGGCCAATTTTATTTTGAATAGCATGTACAGTATTTATACAGAACTACAAAATAAAAAAGGTAACTTCCTAATAATATGCCCCTACTAATTACATGCCAACCCAAACAGAATATTTACAAAATAAATACAGATAAATGTAGATATATGCTAAGAATGAGGATTCAATTATAAATTAGATTTCCCCTTTTGGAAAGGTCTTAACAATGACTTGCTACATGAATTGTGAGCCAGATAGGAACCATCCAAAATGAACAATCACGAAAACAGAAATAAACAAGTATAAATGTAGTGAACTAGCTTGAAAAATAAAGCGTTCCAACATATGGCTAAGTGAAGGAAAGACCAAGTGAGTTACAACATTTAAGAAATATAGGTACCATATATAGCTTTATTGATATAGTGTCCAGGTGCTGTGTATCAATCCCCAACCAATTGATATGGTATAGTGAAATGGTTGTTTAGATAAAGAAGTACTTAAGTTTAATTCGCTGGAACGTAATTAAACTCTAGAATTGAAAAAGAAAGAAAGTGAATAACGAAATCCGAGGCAAGTGAAAACACTTTCACCCTAAGACAAAATTGATCAACAACCGTGTTAACGATTTACGGCACTTGTCTCCCAAAATACAACGCATACAAGTTGTGATAGAAACATATCAAACCACAAGCAATAGCAAATTTTGAACGAAAATTTTCCCTCCACAAGAAAATGTTGTGACTTTTGGAGAGTATTTTGCAAGAGTTTTTGATGTAATGCTCAATGCAAAAATAATATGGGATGCATAATCAACGTCCTAAGGATCCTATTCATAGAAGAAGAGGGGTTGTGAGTAAAGTATTACGCCACAAACTCAGCAACATTCACGAAGGAAAGCATCATTTGCTATTGCTGGCAGTGACATCTACTCAACAGAACATCTTTTGCTTGCCTGTCACTCGAGCGACAGTCTCATTGCTTGAGCTCGCTCAAGCGTTAGGCGAGCTATGGAGTTAGGCATTTTTTCTGGCCAATTTTTCCTCTTTTCTATCCAACTTTGGACCACAATTTCTCATTAATCCGAAATTAGTTTTGAAATTCTAAATATACCATGACGATCTATTCAACGAGAAGAACAAGTTAGTCTATTTATATTTATAATTTGACTATCGGATCAAGTCCGAATATTTGACCGAAATTGACACAAAGTCACTTTTAAAGGTTTATGGCTTTATGCTTAACCAAAATTTCAATTCTTAAAACCAAATTTCAACACCATTTGGGTTAAGTTTCTATTATATTGAGGGAAAGAAATTACCTCCAATTTCCAAACACGACATAGACAATCCAACTGAATATATTGAAATATACCTCTATTTTGTTGGCATCTAACATCTTGGAATGAATTTCCAAGAGTCTGGATGTAAAAGCATCCACTTTCTTGGTTCTGCAAAAAAGTTGAATTAAGACAATGCTGGGAAAAAGACACACATCTGGCATTGTTTTGAGAGTTGACAAAATTAAGGGAAGAAAAAGTTCGGGAGTTAAGAGCACATAGGATACAACTTCCAGGGACTACACAAGTGCAAATAACTTCTTGCAGCTATCTGTAGCTTATTTTACCAAAAATGAAAAAAAGTTCGAAAAAGATGATGGTGAACCAGGATGATCCTGTTCACGTGCACAGTGTTTTATAAGTAGGAGAACAAGCAGTTTAACCTGGATAGCGAGTCCTGTAGGAATTTTCCATCCAAACTCACACGATCCACAAGTTCATTGAAAATGGGAGCTATTTGGCAAGCTTGTTTCCAATGACTTTCAGGAAACGGCATTGGCAACAAAGAAAATGGCGCATGAATCATGCCCACACCAGGCACTCTTCCTGATCTCTGCAAATTTGAAAAGCTGGAGACTAAACTACTAACAAACGATTAATTCAATGCATCACCATACATCAAAAGATTTTCATTTTTGACCGGCCCAGTTAAAAGGAACTTCAACTTTAAATCAATCGTTTATAACATTTAGTTTTGAAAATTCATCACTGCTATGAAACATATCAATTTCGCATCAGAGTATCTATTGATCAAACTTCAGAGACAAAAGGAATATTATCAAAATCCGGGTTTTACCATTCAGTTCTAACATTCACCATCTTTTTTTGAGTAACATTCACCAAAATTGTAGAAACTGTAAATGATACAAAATATAAATCCTACTTTACCCACAATTTGTTAATCAAACAACAAAAACAAGAACATACCACAGAAAAATGATGTTTTTCAATTTCTTCATAAAAGAAGAAGGATATGAAATAAAAGAAATTTCCAATTTCAATTGAGTTAATTTCAATAATGGCCACTGAATTTCGCACTACAAAGAGTGGCCTCATGAAACAGACTAAAGTTCAGATGTCATTAGTGAAAATAACCATATTTGTAAACCGACCTGTGAATTCGTGTCCCCAACAAGAAGCCCATGTAGGGAACTCCATACGAGGGCATCATATTCCATTTTCTGAAGCAATTGGTTGTCAATTTTGTGATGATCAAAGATAAGGCTCATAGAATTTCTTTTATGGGTCTCCATTTCTTCAACTCCGCTGCATTTCAAAGCCTGATACATGGAGAAATTCGCTGGTTTTGGAAGATGGGTTTGCAAGGATTTAGTAAAGGGATTGAAAAGGAAAGAGTGGTGCTTTGATCTGCTATGAAAAGGAGTGGTAATGGTGGTGGGATTAAGACAGTGTATGTGAGAGCGAGAAGGCGGGGATAGGTCGACTCCCATTTGTTACCTTGTTTTGTCGAGATGTCTACTCTCTTCGGTGCGAAATGGAGTTAATTGT